TTACAGCCAGAGGCAGAAGTTTTCTTTTTTTGTTCAGAATGTTTTTGACATTCGACTGAAAATACAAGCACAGCTTCCACCTCCACAGAACACAACAAGCTGGATGAATGTGCAGCTTAACCACAGATCGAGAAAGAGAAAAAGCACAATTGTATACAACAAACTGAAAAAAATCAGCATGTATATAAAAACCTCAGCCTCTCAAGTGTTTGTTTATTTGAGAAATACACAATAGCTTCCATATCATTAGTAGTTATATTGTTTTTCTGCTTAGATCAACAAAGGACAAAACTGCATAGAATCAGCCTCTAATGTTTACATGGGTCCTGACCTGTCTGCCTTTATGACATCAGGTTATTGATGGAAATGTATTAATGCAGTGGCCGTACAGTGAGGTTACACTGGATGACAGTTTAGCTGATGCTCTCAGTGCAGTCCTGCTGCAGCAGCCTCCGCCCATCAACAAGTTAAATTAAACCCTTATTTGCATTTACTACTTGACCTTTCAGCCTGCTCGATCCCCGATACCAATCTGACATCAGCAGAGAGGGGGTGCGGCAGGTGAGGTCCTGTGGGGAGGCTGCTGTGTTCACGTGTTGGCCAAGACAATAACCTTCCATCCAACAGAGTACTTATTTGAACCCAGTCTCCCATTATAAATCAACCTGTACAGAAAACCTGTGAGGTGCATCCACAGTCCTCTGGCTTCTGCTTTCAAAGCGGTGAGACGTTATTGTTAGAAATTGGAGCCACTTGCTGCTCGCCAATTGAAACCCCACCACAGTTTCATTTAATCTGACAAGTATAATCTTCTGAGATTGCCCTTTCCCACTGTGATGTTTGGAAAGCTTATAAAAGACTCACTTCATTGATCTGAAGACACTTTAAGAGGCCTTATTGTTGTTCCCATGCCATAATCACAAATAGACCCTTTGCAATAGAATAATGCCAAACAATGCCAGTCAGTGGGGGAGTCAACCGTGCAATAAAGGCTTAATAGTTTTATCATTGCTTTGAAATTGTGCGGTCCATCTGTGTGTGTGTGTGTGTGTGTGTGTGTGTGTGTTGCTGTCTTCCTGTCTGTAAATCTGCCACCAGTTGTGGTACAGTTCCTTTAATCTAACCACAGAACCTGCCATAGTTGAGGCAGTGTAGAATGAAATAAGGATGCTTTATAGGGAAAATACGATAAACTCTTCTATCTTTGGGGATAAATTACTATGTACATTGACAATCAAAGTCATTAAGAAGAGTTCATACAGTCTGAGGGGTTCACACACACACATCCTCTCCCACTCATCAAGCCCTTCACCTCCCACTGCGCGAAAATGGATTTCCCCCTGAGGACAGCATTCAAGGTTTATGTTCCTAATGACCCCCAATAATTCACCCGTGATTAATCAGTAAAATCAACTCATGACTTACAACCCCCACGCCACGACAGAGACTCTAATCTCTGAGGCTTCTTCACAACTGTATTAAGCATTGTGTTCCCTGATGTCTCACAGTGCGGTCAAATAACTCACTGCCATTGGCCAGGCCCAGGCTGATATGTCACTGTGGTTGGCTGCTGTTTACGCTGAACACACAAGCAAAGGGGGGAATCTGTGCGTGACAAACGGCGCCCTGCGTTCGCACTTCGTTCGGGGGTGCGACCGCTCAGCGCAAGGGCAGCCGGTGGAAGATGTATGAGTTGGTGGCGTAATGTATTCATAGTGGAAAAGATGGAGAAATTGGTCTTGAGACATGATGAAGCGCCTGCTGAGGTGTCTTTGATAAATTATGATGAAGCTATGCAAATGGGGACTGCAGCTGGATCTCCAGCAAGAACTGTTCAATTAGCTCGACACTGTGATGGTAGACTAATACTTGTGTGAGCAATGAATCCATCTATTACAACTAACAAAACAAATTCTACACTTTATGCAAGGGACCCTTGTTGTGACACCAATTAACAAGCCTAGCTGCAAGACAAAGACAATGATATTTTTTACCCAGTGAGAAGAAGCCTCATAAAGGAAGTTAAATGATGTTAGCACATTACACTCTTATATCTGGATCTGTGTCAGAGAGTTGCCTCTAAATCTACTGCAGTGTATTAACTATAATTCATCATAGTGTCTTTCTATTTCACAAACCAAATAAGAGAAAAAGAAATCAAATCCTCCGACTTGTCACAAGAATTATCTCAAGGGTTGATTTGAATATTTAAAGAAGGCGAGTTTAATAAATGAAAACACGAGATAAAGTGCTGCAAAATGGACGTTCTTTTAACTGTTTGTACATATTCATACACAATTCAGAGTAACTCCCAGAGTCCTGATTTGGGAAGCAGTTCAAAGAAGGCTGAAATGCCTCTCAGATACTGAGTGTTCATCCCTCAGGCCCATCAACATATGCAGTCCTTTTCACTAAATATTTCACCACGAGGTTATGTATGAATCACCCATACGTTCGTATTTTACATTCTTGTTACACAGTGCAACTTGTGCCAAGCATAAATTTCACCCACAGCTTGTATTGTGTGATTAGATGCAGCTTTGAAGCCCAATTTAGTTTTTTTTTCTTTCCTTGCAGCCAAAGAACAAGCCACTGCAAAAAGATAACTATCATCCACTGAAACCAGATGGGTTTCCATCTTCACTGAAAATCTCTTGTATTACAATTAGGTTACTGTTACTGAATAGAATTTCATCTTGAAGCTTCCCTCATTGACGAGTTTAGAAACTGGAATGTCTGTGTGATTAGTGCTTTGAATATCATAATACAGCTGGAAACACAATGCGTCTGGCTGCAGAGCCGCTGCAATTAAAAATGACATCATGTTAAAATACTCTTCAAGGCTAGAAAATGCTAATTATATGCAGATTAGTAATATGATTCATGTATTAATTTGGCTTGCTGAGTGGTGATTAGGTGAGTGGGAGTAAGCAGCAGTCACTAATGCTCAGCAATGGTTAAAAACAGTATGGTGAGGGGAAGCAAAAGCCGGCAATTTCCTTCATTTACTCAGTGTGAGAGATGACCTTTCCACACAGTCCCTGCCTGTGGCGCTAAGGAAGCGCGCGTATGAAGGGGGATTTGAACTTTAGCTTGCATGCAGCATCTGACATATGTATGCTAACTGTTTGTGTCTCTGCGGGCTATCACAGACACTGGCAGGGGCACTGAGAAGGAAAGACAGAGGGAAGAAAGAGCAGGCAGCATGACGACTCTTCTTAATGTCTTATTTAAAGATACATTATCCTGATTTTGTTTCAATACCCAACAGCATCACGAAAAACTGCATCATATCCTTTGGAGGAGGAGCTATGGTCACTGTTGAGTGGAGTAGGAACAAATCAAATAAATACTGAAAACAATGTTTCACCCAATTTATAAATGAAGATCAGTTTACTGGAACATGATTACGCCCGTTCAGCCTGTGAAAACAGTTGTATAATGTCTGATGTCACAGTGATGTCATAAGGGTTATCTCAGCTTGGGGTAAGGGGTTTGAAAGATGTGGGCAGGGGGACTAAAGATGCAATCAAGTTGCATTATGGGAAATGTAGGAGCAAGCGTTTTTGGAGCTTGTCCCACTCCGAGCCTCTTTAATGAGCCAACAGCTGTAGCACCATGTCACTTCCATATTAATATGCATCTGGACCCAATTACAAATAAGCCTATAAACTGATACAGTTTATAATATAAACATGTAAAAAGATTTTATATACAAAGCCATCACAAACAAACACAAAATGATGAAACCTGCATCAGTATCATTGCACCAGCATACTGAAGCCCACTGATGATGTTCAGATTAGAGGTCAGAATAGAGATTGTAAGGACAACTGAAACAAGCGGTGGAAAACTGACCTATAATCAATGTGGAAAATTTTATTTTGAGCCCTGATCCGAAAGAGACCCAAGGACAGTGAGTCCTAAGAATATTTAGACCCCTTCCAAAGGATGTTTGAGCCAAGCACCAAGACAAGCAGCAGCACAATGCACCATCAATCAATAAGCAGCCATGGTCATAGAGAGCAGCAGTACGTCTCTCTCCTCTGTTTATCTGTTTATTCCCTTTCTGGCCTAAAGAAAATAGCACAGATTTTTCCTAAACTACTTGCAAGTCTGCTCAGGTATCAGAAATATTGACATACTGACCCAAGATCAGCAGCAATATAACAGGACTCTACGTAACCTAATTAGAGTGAATATTATATTTATTTCTTGGCCTGAATTGGGGTCCCAAGTAGTTTAGATTAGCAATAATTAGGTCATGAGCTATATGTTATTCATATGTACAACAGCAACAATCTGTGACTATTGCAGAAAAGCATTAGAAAATAGACAATTTCATCCATATATGGTTGGATTAAGGTTGTAAATGAGAACAAATTTGCTTCAAAAAAAAAAATTACTCCACGGTATGAACATCATTTAGTCGAGTAATCAGGATGAAAGCAATGATGAAGACCTCCATTTTGTCATTTGACAGAACACAGAAAACTCAAATTAGTTTTTTAAAAGCTGTGACAACCCAAGACAAGAACTAGAAAACCCCATCTCCAACAACAACTAGTTAGAGTCAGATGTAAAAGTGTATGTATAATATACTGCATGTGATCAGCGTGTTGCTCAGACAGGAAAGAAACTGACATGAACCTCTGGGATGCACCATATTTTTTCTTCAATAATTTATTTAGCAATTCCCTTTGATGACAAAAGGGAACCCGGAAGACTTAAATGCATGTAGGGGTGATAAACCTGTGCTTCATTAAACAGCAAGATTGAAGCAGTGAACCTCAGAGGCAACGGTAACTTTTAGTCAAGGCTTCTGTTTCGGTTCTTAGTCTCATCTGGCTTTCTTTCCCAGCAGAGAGCTCTGTGAAATACAGGACCACTGTGTCTACCTATTATGAAAGGCCTTTTAAAACCAGATATAGGCTACATCCCTGACTGAGCAGCTATTTGACAAACGGACAGGAAGCTGAGGTCAGTGTAGCATACCGTACCTGACACAGCTGGCTCTCATCCAAGGCAATATGGGCTCCGTCTCTTCATACCGTTTCTGTTAAAAAAAAAGAAAAAAAGACAGAGCCAGGTCAAGAAAACTGATATGAGACTTCAAGAAAGAAAGGATATTGGAAAAGTAAAAAAAAAAAGAAGAAGAGGAGATTAGATGATACGGTAGAGAAGCAGGGAGCATGTGTCATTCCTGCAACCTAAAAAACAAATGTAACAGTCATCTGTTAAAAAAAAAATTCTCTTCAACATAAATATATTCTTTTTTAGTTGAGTTGAAAATTGAACCCACTCTGTTTGAAAATTAAACAATGAATCAGTGTTGAACGTTTTCAAGTGGCAGACACACATATACTTTCTTTCATACAAACCCCATAAAGCCTCAACTCAACTCAAATTGATCTTGACACAGACCATGAGGGAAGTTTTAAGTGTAATCAGCCGATGGCTCATCAGTATTCTGCAGCCGCCGCCGCTATCTCCAAACTATGGCAACAAACAGGCGGAGAAGGTGGGGGGAATCTATTGATGTATGCTCTTTTATGTGAAGTTATCATTCAAGACCCACTTACGCCCAGAAAAGGTCAAATGAAATTCTCTCATATCAAATTGAGTTTTTCACTTGATTAATAAGCTCTCCGTGGCGGATGCTGCGCCTGCACGCAACGCATTTCAAAACATTTCCAGGTTTTCATTTAGCTTGGAGGATGACACTGAACTCCAGATAATACATGTCTAATTAAAACATTTCAAAAGCAAATATTTCAATTACCGGACTTGGCACTATCAACGTGACGTTTCATAATATGTCTATGTACTCTGAGAGCACTGGAAGGAGAGAGACCAAGACTCGTGACACAGCAATCTCCAACAACAAGGAACAGTCCAAACAAAACCGAAGCCCATATTTAAAAATCCCCTGAAGAGGATATCTACTGTGATTTGGAGATGCTCCTTGTACTACTCGCAAGACGTCTTTAAACACGCCAGAAATATGGGAAATACTTGAAGAAGAAAGAAAATGTGGAGCAAGCTGTGGTTACTGAGAAGGCAACCCACTGGGGCTTTTCATCTTCGTCGTGAGCTGGAAAACCAAAGACTGATCTGGTTTGTAATCTTATCTCGAGACGCAGAGTGTGGGTTACTAAAGGCTGTAAGGGTTACACCACTTATAATACATCAAAATTCTACATAATATAATATAAAACAGTGACTTCCTCCATCTTGAGAAGTAGATTGAGATTAAAGACAAGACTTATGAATCATCATCATTTTGCATCAACACTTAGAGCTGTAGTGTTGAACAACTGTCATTTAATTTTTGAAACAGTGCAGTATAAAGCGAATGCATTTCACACTCAGAATTCAGACAGTGATGAAGTAGTTATTACATGACAAATTAATAGGCGTTTTATCATGCATTATATATCACTGAATTTAATATTATCATTATTAATATTAATAAGTTCAGCGTGTTACTGAACCAGAGAGTACAGTTGAGGCAGGACAAAGTCAACTTGAACCTGATGATGGCACTAGCTGAAAAGTCAGGGATTACCAAGGTCATTAGGATTCACCCTCTGGGGAACATGAATGACTCTACAAAATTTGTACCAATCCATCTTGTAGATGTCGAGATATTCCACAGTGAAAAATCTGACCTGTTTGTGGTGCTGGGGGAAAAATCAGGGGATCACCAGAGTCAGTAAGCTTCATCCTCTGGGGACCATGACCAAAATTCATGGTGCAACTAATAATGTTTTTTTAATTGTCTTCCATAACTCAAGGTGTCATCTTCAAATGTCTTGTTTTGTACAACCAACAACCCAAAATATTCAGCTTACAATGAGGAAACAGAGAAAAGCAGGAGCAATTCCTCATGCTGGAAGAAATGCTCTGAATATAATTTTTCTCTAGGTCGACAAATCAATAAATCAGCTAATTGTTTCAACTCTGCGATAGTTGTTTATATGTTTCAGTCTGGAGAAAAGTCAGGCCGATGCTGCCTTCCCTAGAGCCAGGCTGGTAGTGGACCTAAAGATGTGGATGGAAAGAGAAAGGTATAGACCATCATGATGTGACTAACTGCCATCAAGGTTAAAAGAAAGGAAACACCACGTCGGGTCAGGATGGAGCCCTGCCATCTCTCCCTCTAACAGGCAGAGAGCAGTGCGCTCTGGGTAATTGGGAAGAACTTCCTGGCCTCGGACTTGAGTGGCATGTCTCGGCCGTGGCATGAAGTCAGTTACCTGATCGACGCTTAGATACATCGAGCTGTCAGCTCAGCTCCGGAGTAATCACAGCTCTGCATTAACAAGCCACTCACGCACCAAAACGGCTCTCAGGGAGGGAGCGCGATGACAAACCACAACCGAACACACAAACACACACGTATATTACCGTACACACTCGTGAGCCCACACACAAACAGTGAGGCAGCTGATGAGCAACCACCTTGCAAATTGGCTTACTATACGGATGCAGAGAATAACTTATTAGTGCATTACAAACAGGCTTTGGTGGCATTGGCACAATTCTGCCTTGCTATAGAAGCTATTTCAGACATTTCTCTCATGCATTTACCTCATTGTGGAAACATGCCTCTGCTCGCTATTAACATAATTTTTCTGATGCTGGAAAAAATTGTGCCATTTGGAATGCATTACGCCCCCCCCTGTCACTGCGCTAATCAGCATAATATGAATTATTGCTATCATTACAGTAGGTGGCCGAGAAATAACAATAGGTCTTAATTATTCAACAACGAGGAATAATAAAGGGAAAGCAAATGCACCTTTAGTTTCTGCTGCCAACAGTCATTAGAATTTGTATCTCTCTCCCCTTTGGGAAGAGTACCAGACTCCGTTCCTCTGTGGAAATCATTTCTAAGATGGTGATGAGTGATGAGGTTGTTTTCCCCCTCGAATATACTCCTTGTGTTGTTTGTCTGTGAATGCTCAGTGTGGAAATTACCATAAGAGCCCAATAAAATGTGCCTGGCAATAGTTCTTTTGAGTTATAATTTCTTGTGCGTAATTGTTATTGTTTCTGTGCGCCATTAAAGTGATGATTGGGATGGGAATATTGTTCCATTTCAAGTCAGGTTTTGGTCCTGGATTTGAAGTAAATGTTACATCATTAGAATCTTATTTAAATGAATCCTTTATCATAATGAAAGACCTACTTGCTAGTAAAGCTCTAGAGTTTGTGTAGGCATTGCGCTGTGTATTGTTGATTTGTATATGGTTATCCACTACTGATGAACCAACAGAGGAATTTGCGCTCATTTCTCATCATGTCTCATTATGAACTTTAAAGGTGCAGGAAACTTGACCTAGAATCAGATTTCTTTCATATGTGTATAAGAACACAAGCATTTGAAGTTCCATCTAACGAGACAAGAGGCTCTGTGACCATTTACTAATGTAACTTGTTGTCATGCTAACAGTTGCTAATTAGGACAAACACAAAGTACAGCTGCGGCTGATTTGAATGTCATTAGTGTTGCAAGTATCTGATCATAAACCAAAGTATTGGACAAATTGAGGTTCTTGACCTGATGACACTGCCCTCCCTAGAGCCACGCTGATGGGATGGCTTCAAACTAAATTAAAAAACCGAGCCACTGTGTTGTCTCTTGCACTACATTGTTCACCTTTTCATTTTGTTCTAACCCTAACCCAGTTGTGCAAAAATTCCCACAAATATCCTTTTTCTTCATCACACAATTAGCTAGGTGGCATTTTTATGTCCAAATATACATGTTATGCCTGAAACATTAATTAGTGACAATCACACATCAGCAGAACAGGTGTGACCAAACCCTACTGAACTCTTTAAACCCAGCGTCCGAGGAAGAAAGAAACAACATGGGAACAATTAGCAGCAATTAACGACATTTAGAGCTGATGGCAAGACCACAAACATTATTAACACCTATTTATTATTTATTTTCACAGTCCAAGCGGCTGGTTTTGATTACCTTCAAAGACAAAGGAGCAAACTCCGATCTATCCTGTAAGCCAGCTTCAACTGCTCCCTCTAGCTCTTATTTCAAAGAGATTCAAAAATATGTAAGATACATTTTTTGTTAACGCCAAACATTACAGTTACATCTGGGTATCATAATTCCAGGTTGGCAAGGTCAAACTCATTATACTAGACTTTCCTTGAGAGATAAAGGCTTTAGCTGAATCCACAAATCCAACCAGTACTGCAGGGTTCCTCTGACCTTTCAGAATGAGTTGCCAATCAAATTTCAGTCTGTCTTAATGGAGACACGGTGATTACAGCAGGCATGATTCAGAGCTATAAACCGCTGCCCTTCAAAAGAAAATGAAGTAGCAAAACGAGTGAATTGGCTAAGGAGACATGACTTCAACATAATAGAGAGAATACTGTAATGATTTCATTGGGGGTTTTCATGGATCATTGTTTCTCTCGAGTAATGATCTAACGGCTCATCGACACATCTGTCACCATTGGCATTTGTCTCAACGTCCTATTGACACTCCGACACTACTGATTACTGATCAGTGCTGCTAACTGAAGGGGGGGTGTTGTCACAAATCAAAGCGTGTCTTTGTGTGGTCGGAAAGGTTGAAACAGATACCGTCAGATCCTGAGATACCCGCCGGGGAGAATGAGATAATTAACTTTCAGCTTGAAGGCGTCCGAAGACTTCCTGTCAGCTGCTGTTAGCGTTGTTGACAAAGTCTCAGACGACATACAGCGGATATTGAAATAATGACGTTCGATTTTTTTAACTTCGTGTGGCTTAGTTCAAATATTCTGCAGGTGATTCGCGGTCTGTTGACACCTCGAGCTCGAGATCAACCCACATTGCTGCTCAGTGTATTCACTGTATCATGGGATATGAAATTCAAGGTCACATTTCACTCCCCTGCTCACTGGATTCAGCTCAGATTGAAATTCTACCACATATCCAGATCACATGGGTGTTTGTCAAACCATTTATATGAACTACTGCCAGCTTTGCACAAATGTCTGCTTTCTTCCTTTCAGCTACAAAATAGTGTTTTTTAG